GGGGGGGGGGGGGGGGGGGGGGTGACCGCAACCTTTTAATGGGGGGTCCGGGAGCCTGCCCAGGAAAATTTTGAAATTGGGGTTTTAAAAAGTGCATTTCAGTGTATTTTAAGCAATCGTGGTTTTGTTCTTTTGTTAAAGAAAAGCAATTTCACCGAGAAAAACATACATGTAATGTACTGTGTTAGTTGAACAAGTTGATCATCGTCATCGGTTTCAAATTTGAAAACAATATCAAAAACGTCAAAAACGTTCTCATTTTGTGGTCAATCACGCGTGTAAAAGCAGATGAGAAAGCCAAACGAGAAAAGAGTTTTGCTGGCACTGAAGGTACTAGATTGAAGTTTGACATTTATTTTGTTAAAAGACAAGTTTTGACTGGCTTTAACACAGTGCTAGGGGTGGAATTCATTGAACGTGATGAAGCTTGTGATTGGTAACTGTTGCAAGTGCAAGCCTGTAATACTTGGTGAAGTTTCCCACGGATTTAAGCTCAGAATTTTTTCTGATTAAGCGTGTGGACCATCATCAACGTTTTGAACCTTTGCGCTAGTTTGGGTTTTTCGTTAATGATTTCAAAAGTGATAAAATTAATACAATCAAACTTCAACTTGACATATTTTGCAAATGTTTCGCTTTATAATGAAGCCTTGAAATAGTGCATGTATTTATTCACACTTCCCTACTCGATAAGCTCGTCAGTTTTATATCTCATTTTCAATATTTACACAAACATCTTATAGAAGCTGAGTTTAAAGATTGTGTAAGATCTTGCAAAGTTTGTTTCTTTTGTTGAAAGAAATCTTCGCAGTTATTTGTTCTCGAAAATCCTCCATGTGCGAGCCAAGCACTGGGTTGCATGTCGTCGTGTTTAAAGAACTAATTAAATTACGCGTACATTCACTGGAGATAAAAGAACTAATTTCAATTATATTTTTGAAAGAAAACAACTTATGACCTTCGTTTGTGCCATCTCTATTTTCTTTTCAATTTATCCCTGGTACTGAACAGCGATTGGTGGGTTTTTCGCTTCATTTTCAGCGGAAAAACTGAGCTTTAACTTAACCCCGGCTGTCAAATATTTCGGTGCTGCTGTCACGGCTCAGTGCCCACGTCACTTTTTTGGCGGCAATTCTCACGGCCCGAATGATTTCAGATTTCTTTTATCTTACAGCTATAAGAGTTGTATTTTTTAATCGCTACGTATCTGTTGAGAAAATTAGACATATTGTTTTTATGCTTAATTTTATTGACGGATAGGCTCACATTGTCACAAATAAAATTTTTTCATCATTTATTTCATATAAGTAGCCGGCGCGCCGAGGGCGACTAGACGGCGAATTTCACTTACGGAGAACTCTGCCTTGACCTAGTTGATAACCATTCTACACCTGTTATACTGAAAACCAACCTACCCATGACCAAACTGTTAATCATCCTGTGTTTGTTTCCAAAAGGGAATCAACATGAATATTCCAGTCCTATCCTGCTACTTCTGAACCCTCTCCACTACAGCATGTTGAAACTGTTTGAAACAGTCTCAAGGGACCATTGGTATTAAGGCCCTTTTCAGTGACGACTGCACTACATGTATGTTTCAACAACCCGGCCCCGTTTACAACAAGCTAACCTAACATGGGCCCACGTCTCAATAGAAAAACAGCTCTTGGTCAGCAGTCGACTTCAAAAAAAGCATGTTATCTCGATGAGCTCAAAACTTGAGCCCGCAATATGGTCAGCGGATACCTTGTTTTGACAGGTGTCAATTGACCATAACATGGATGTCTAATATCAAAGAAGGAGGCTTAAATCAAGGCTGAATGTCTCTGTTAACCTTTTAGCTGAACTATGGCCGCCATCTTTCTCGACTCCGTCGTCGTCGTCGTCATTCGTACGCGCCCACGAGCAATACCGCTAGCCATGATAACCATGCCAAAATCAATTCATGAGTTTCCTTTTCTTTTCTATATGGGTATGGGGCTCCGCTTGGCGGCTCGAAAGCTCCGCTATAAGCGTTTGCAGTAAGTTAAGCATTTTTCATCTTTAATTTTAATAAGTTGAAATAAAATTAATACTTTGTAAAGATACAAAAACTTGAAATTAGGGACAGACAGGATGGTGAATGCAAAATTGCAAAAATTTTCATGTAATACATCTAAGGTTACAATTAACATGCTGAGTGGTTTAATAATTGAAAGACCATAGAAAATGAAAAGTTTACACATTTACACTTTGTATTCTGCATGAATTTTTAATTAATGACTCATTATTATAAAAGTAATAAGCAACCTCCCACATACAACAATTTGAAAACTGTTCACATAAATCAACAGAAAGTGTAAATGGACTTGCCTCTTGAATATACTCCATATAAAGGCTCAAGTTTTGAAATGATTGATGCTGCGTGATATCATACATAACCATGAATCCCTGAGCAACAAATAATAAATATATCATTTTTTTAACAACGACATTAACCAAAGGCAGAGTGAATAATGGTGCATGTTTAACTGAGAAAATGCTGAGGCAAACGTTTTTTCAGTGCGTTTCCTTACCATTGAACCACGGTAGCAAGCCCTGGTAAGAGTTTGGAACCTTTCCTGGCCAGGTGTGTCCCTGTAACACGCAAAACCATTATATCTAAAATGTAAATTAAATCTATCACCTCTAACATAATATAAATGATATTAACCCATTGAACCCTGAGATTCATCTAAAAACAGCCAAGTAATTGTACACAAGCCTTCGTCATGATATTTTCCCAAGGAATTTTTCAGCCAATACCCTCATAGCTAAACTGACCAATCATTTTCAACGGACCATTTATAACACCACTGACTGACGAACGCTATTCACTTGACTCTGAAGATAATTCCTGTTCAGGTTGTCAAAACATCAGTCACCAACAACAGTTCTTTTCAAAACTACCCTCACCTGGATGACTTCACAATATGCATGACGAGATTCATGCGATTCTGAATTCGCAGCAGGGTATGGGTTCTAATTTCCGGTGGGTTGTGTTACGAGATCGAAAATTCTGTCATCGCTGTGTAGT